GAGCCCCTTGTAGCTACTTGCTCCTAGTAGTAAGGCCAGGAGCCCCTAGTAGCTTCTTGCTCCTATAAGTAGTTACAAGATCAAACGATTGAACTTGCAAACTTATTTTGTTTTACTGTAACAGCTAGATGACATCAACTGAACATCCACGTAGCAACTAGACTTAAAAGCACGAGGCAAATCTCTTCTGTTTGGCATGTGCATTTTTCTTTGTCCAGATAGCTGTTTCGCTGTTTGTGTGTGTGTGTGGTCAAATCTGGTGAAAACCTTTGGTGCAGGAGCATATATGTCCACTCAAGGTCCCCAGATTTGATGGGATTGACGCGAAAAGGTTCTTTGTTCGTCAGCCAGTCTTTTGTGTACAGTCTGCCTCCCTCCCTGATTTGCAATCTCTTGCCTAGTGCATTTAAAGGTGACTGCAATCTCTTGCTCATTGTCGCAGAGGGCCCCTTCTCTCCAGAACCATCGCCCGTTCCTCTGACGCTAGGAGAGTCGGAGGAGACCCAAGCTTCGCATCCAAAAGCACCCCAAGAGAGTCGGAGGAGACACCGGTGAGCACTTTGTACGCGGCAACAACATGTGGGCTTATTAGATGCCTCGGGATGTTCATTTCCCGCATCAGCTCCTCCACTGTCTCCGGACCATGTGGGACTTTGATGGCGCAAATGCTCTCTTTGTGGATGTGGCGAACATGTGCACAGTGCCATATGTACCGCCTCCCAATTTCTGAACGCATTAAAAAAGCAGCACCACAATCAGAAAACCTCAGGGACACCGCTGGTCGCTCGTCCTCGGACACAGTGTTTGGACTTCAAGCTGCCCGGCGGATGTAAGATTCGTTATGCTTTCTATTTCATAGAGGCCGCAACAGGGAACATTGAAACCACATTAAAGCCACCAGTCAAATCTAGCTAAATCTGAAAAACATCCAAGTGCTTTGGGGGGACGATGGTTTTTCCCCACAGTAATGCAGGTCGAGAATGCCGATGGATGAGTCATTGATGTGAGGGGAGATGGACATCCGGATGCCCGTAAGGCACTTTCTAGGACTTTCTAGCGTACTTCTTGGTGTGAATCTCCACCGGTCTTGCCTTGCTTTGCCACGGGGACAGGGAGGCAACACTTTTTGAAGAAACGCCCTGCAATGCTCTCAAGCTAACAAACAAAGTCTGAACATGGCGAGATGTACGTCGCCGAATTGGATTTTCTTCAGCCGTCTAAAGACATTTGCGCTGCACATGGGAGAGAACGACTTCGCAAGCTGCTTTGAGACTCTCTGAAAAGCTCGCAAGTCTTCCACCACAGTCACTATCCCCTCAAATTCTCCCCTCATGGCCCACAGCATGGCAAAGAGGGCAATTACAATGCGCAGAGGTGGGCAGTGTGTAGCAGGGGGGTATTGCGCTCATGAGGTTTCGCCGCACCGGCATCGGCAGATCATGTCCGAGGCTCATTGAGCAGTCCAAGTGAATATGAGTCCCGCCCTCCACAGCAACAAGTTAAACACAAAACGATTGTACAAGGCTTTGTGTGCGTTTGTGTATATAGTAATTCTATTCCCACCAGTATCCTCTCAAATTCCCTTCCAGATCCTTTCACTTTCCCTTCCAATTGCCCCCTTGTGGCTCACAGCGTGTAACAAGGGGCAACTACAATGCACAAAGATGGGTAGGGCGTCGGGGGCGGATACAAACCATGGCCCAAATCAGCGAACGCACCAGCGCTAGCTGGGCCAGCTAGCAGGTGCTCTTAGCAGGGAGACCTGGGCCATTGCTGCTGTGACAGAGACCGAGACCTGCTTCCTTGCCTCGACTTCGAGATAAGATTTGCGCGCAGAAGTACAGGAAGGCGATGGGTCAAGGAAGCATCTGAAAGCATCTGGAAGCCTCTGAACAATTGCAATGAAGGCACCTGGGGAATTCCCATGCGACGTCCCTTGTGGCGCCCTTGGATGTGCTTCTTTCGCACCCTGAGACTGGCCAAGTCGAAACTCCTTGGGTGCCCAGTCGGCCATCGGTCCGGGTGTTACGTTGCTTGTCTCAGTTGTTCTGGTGTTCTACAACCTGGCATTTGACGCCACAAAAATTGGGCAGACTTTTGATGTTGTAAATGCATTTCAATGCATTTCGCCGCAGTAAATGTGTTGGAGCACAAAAAAATGTGCTTCTTATGTTTAGACAAGTGCTGAATCGTTCGCACGTCCTTCGTGCCACCTCGGTGGCTCCGAGGACCCATCACTTTCGATGAGCCGCTTTCGACTGTCGAGCCACCGGGCGACTGGTGTGGCCAAATGGTCATGGAGAAGGAACGAAGATGGAGAACAGGTTTATATTTCAATAGGGAGACCCCTCAGCAGTGGCGTTTTGGTTTATTTGTTCTTCTTCTAAGGGGGGATGAATGGGGCATCTCCCGATTCCAATACACATCATTATACATCCATGTGCACTGGGGGTGGGCGGTGTAGGTTCGTTATGATGTAACCGGGGGGTCACTTACCCAACCACATTTTTCGGTGGATGGGTTGTGATGGGTTTTCCCACACACAAAAACATAAAAAAACAAGTGGGAAGAGGTTAACCCTTATTGTCCTGGGATCTCCTTCATCGGGAGACACAGGAGAGCGGACTTGATGGTTTAAGCATCCTTCTGCAAACAACACTGTCTAAAATGGGTGTTCCGGTGTATTTGATGCTCCCAAAACCTTACCATTTGAGGCCAACGGCGCTGCAATCTAAAACATGTAGCTTAACGCACCACTGTTAAATCTACCATTCGAGGGCCGGAGGAATTCCTGTGCCCTTGTAGCTACTCTAGAATCATGGGGTTTCTCGTCCCATTGATGTAAATGTTGTGGCCTTTATCCTCAGACTCAGGCATCTTGATTTTATCGATGCCATGTTTTGCCTATGTTTTCTTTGTGTTTGACATGTTTGTTTGATCTTGTGAGCTCGATTCTATACTACATGCATTTTCTAGGTGCTCTTGATCTTTTATACTTAACCTTATGATGTACCGAGAGTTAGGCTTCTAGAAAGGTTTGTGCTGACCTACCCCCTGAATCTGAAGGAGGATGCTTAAGCATGCTTAAGCGGGTTAAGGGTTCATACTTACGAGTGGAACACTTACAGGGGGGATGTTGTACTTAACCGGTACTTGGTCTTTGAGTTCCTTCTCCACCAAAGTTACAGTTTTATGGAAGTTGGCACTGCCCAATCAGAACAAGTGGTGAACCCATTATCTTATTCATTCATGTTCCGATGATGTGTTCAGATTTTGTGATTGTGTCTGAAGCAGTTGAACGTTGATTGGTTCACGAATTCAGAACTGCAGTTGATGCAGCCCCGCTCCGCCTCGCTCATGCCAGAAGCGATCCATAAAAACACAAACCTTCGCGTCCTGAGTTGAATGAAAAGGCAGAAACGTGCTGTCAAAGGATTGAATCCACACCCCCTACTTAGTAGTAAACTTACTTAATATATAGTAAAGCTTTTACTGCAAAGGTCAACGGGAGGTGTTTTTTGCATACAGTTTTTCATGTTGAGATCAACTTTGGCCTGTGTGTTCATTCTGGTAGGCAGCCTATGACTCGCCATTCATATTGGTGTCTAGGTCAAGCGTAAAAATGTGTGAATGAGTAAAATATGTGTTCAGAAAGCATCAGAAACCTAACCAACCCAGACACTCCGTCTTTGGAATATTTACATTGACCGTCGACCCTTTTTCACCCATCTCAACTGATCGGCAACGCCAGTCAGATGACATCGTGTCCGACGACATCCGTTCACCGTGTTCGCCTTCAGGCATCGGCTCAGCAGGAACTTCAAGCGACAAGCAAAACTACAGCAAGAAACCCACGGCGAGTCAAGCGATAGGATTCTTCAGTTGATTCAGTTGAAAGAAATGCTCTGAAGAAGCTAGTTGAGCAATTGAAGGAACCGGTGGTGTTTTGCGTCGGGAGTCTTTGAGTCTTTTTGTGGGAAACCGTGGAGCTTCAGACTCCGCTTCAACCACGAACCACCGGGGCACCTGGGCGGACACGTGAAGCCATTCCACACGGTTCACACGTGAAGAAGACACCTAGGACGGCACAGACGCGTCAGGACATGGGGCACCTATGACAACAAAAAAACAAAACCATAAGCAAACAAACAATGCAACAAAAACGATCGGTCTCCAGGCTTCTTTTCACGTCCAGCTGGGCACTATAGGTGAGACCTCCAAAACGACAAAAAAGTAAACGTCGGTTTGGTGTAGACCAGCGTTTGCGACAACATGTCGCATACTACCTCGAGATCTGGTGGCTCGGCTAAGCATCAGCTAAGCAGAAGCCGGTAGTGGATGTACGTTGTACGTGTTATTCTTTCATGTTTGTCATATGGCTGTGGGTCAAAACCGGGACACCCTGGTTGACCACCAAGAATGAACAGTATAGACTACCTGGGAGGTCAACCTACCCTGGTTTTGGGCTCCGGGTTTTGACATATAGCCATATATATGCCTACATTGATCCCAATGTAAATCTACCAGTTAGATGGAGTGTTTCGCTGCACTCGTTCCGAACACATGGAAGTGGATCATACCGACCTGTCTTCCAGTTTGCTCCATGGGACACGGTTTTTTTTCCCCTCCACTTCCATGTTGAGTGAGTGGAAGAGTACGTGGAACTGACCACGGGAAGCCACCGGAAGCGCTGTGCGTCCGGCATACTTCTCTGTCCAGAGGAAGGCTTTAACGGTTGGCTGCTGTCAGTACCCACGGTAAAGGTTTGGACGATCTCCTTGTTTGTCCCGTGGTCAACTCGACTGTAGAAACCTCTTCTGTCCATCTCTTCAGCAAGATTGATAGAGGAGCATTGCCATTTCATATGCTCCCGAAAAGGAGATTTGCCATCTCCCGTAGCCAACCGGCTGTATATCTATATGTTTCCTCAACCATTTTCCTAGAGGAATTTCATCTGTCCGCCTTTGAAAGACATTCTGGCCCTGGCTCACTTCAAGTATTCCAAGACCTGGTTTGCTTATATTGTCCCAGTTAAATCCCCTTCTGGTGAATATTTGGATGTGTTTTTTCTCGTTTCCTCGACCGCAAATCCAAGATGATCATAGCTCCGGGTTTTGACCCCGCGCGGTTCGCGGTGACATGTCCAGCACATCCAGTCCCATGGATTGGGCAGGGCTGTTCACGGAATGTCCGCTCCCACAGCAGGTTGATCCGTTCGAACACGGACCAACCATGGTGGACCTGCCTTTTTGGGTCATCTAAAAGCCGGCCCAGTAATTAAAACAGCTCGCTTCGAAATCGAATCAGCTCTCTCTACCAATATATACATGGCTGACATAGCATCTAAATCCAGATTTGTTCCTCTGCGATGACCTGGAGGATTCTTCCAGGTCCAGGTCCGCCTCATGGGCGCGCCTGTCTCCGAGGCTCTGAAGCCTCGGCGAGGCGACCGGTCCTTCGGTCGCCACCGGTCTGGCCACAGTAGAGACCCCGCAACAAATGAGGGGTGCCGGAATCTGGAGGACGGACTTGGAGCCAGGTACGTGAGGATGGGACGGAGGACGTGAGGATGCGACCGGGGAATCTAACCGGGGATCATGTACTTTTCCGCTTGGTTTTCTTGGTTCTTCGAGGGTGACGGTGGTGGTTCTGGCTTCTAAAGGTGTCGCCTGAAGTAGCACCTCTTGGAATCGAGTCAGATTTCGGGTGATTCTGACCGCTTGAAAGCAGCGGCCAAGCAGCTTAGACTGTCGTGACTGCAGCTGCGCGGGCCCCATTCTACCCCATGCACCGAAAAGAAATGCACACATCACAAGGCGTTCTTGTTACGTTCGTAGCTACTTGCTCCTAGTAGTAAGGCCAGGAGCCCCTAGTAGCTTCTTTGCTCCTAGTAGCTCCTGGCATCAACTCCTATATGCCCCAAGAATCCTCGCCCCGGACCCTCGCCTCGGGGACAGACTGGTCATGACTGGTCATGGCTCTATTCTCCACTCCATGAGACTTCCGCCGATCAGTTGGGATGGTCGAGGGGTCAATGCCCAGGGGTCAATGTAGAGTATAGGTCATTGGGATGTTTGACATAATTTGACATATATATTGGCAGTTCCCATGGAAGTTCCCATGGATTGTTTAGGTTCAATATGGTTTCGCCCCCCTTCATCGTCTGGACGATTGAACCCCATCAGTTGACCTACGTTGACCTCTTTTGGCCAAAGAACTTGGTCGGCCAAAGACGTGGTTTTTCCTGCGACTGCATCTCATTTCTAGATCAGTTGACCCCTCAAACATCTTCAAGCCATCCAATTCCATGAACAAAAGGCCATGTATTCCTCGATTCCGTGGATTGAGCATGGCCACTTTGAGTTCCTTGAGCCCCAAATGTGAATGTTGTCGTTTTGACACGTTTCCCATCATTTCCCATCCATTTCCCCCTTCACACCAGGATCTTTTCAAGAGTCTACTCAGTCCGGAGATTGAGAACCCCCACATAGTATAATAACGATCACCATCGATAACCCCACCTCTACGTTCGTCTCCCAGGATGGGTCTACGTTCGTCTACGCTTCTGACGTCCTTTCGACCCACCAGGTCGTCCCTCAAGGGCTGGAATAGCGGCCCCACGCCGGCCACACCGCTGTCCGGGCGCCCGGTGTGAACGACGACGACGAGGACGGATCCAACGAGGACGGGGGTGGTGGAAAGGGGTCCATTCACTCGGTCGCTCGAATCGGGTCCAATCACTCAACTCATCGAGCGCTTCACGATGAGAACCAGTGGAATTCTGTAGCGCTTGGCGCAATGAATGGGAAGTTCTGCTTGGCCCAATGTCGATCCACAAGTCTGAGACGCGCTGAAAAGGCATACAGATGACCTTCGTGCACTGAGATGCTTTTCTTGGGTAGCCTCCTGCAAAGAAGATACTGAACATGGCCTGTAGTAGAAGGAATGCAGTTGTTCAAAGCACGTTTGGCGGCTTTGCAAGAGGGGAACATGATTGTTTTCAGGTGGCTGAACCAGTCTTACTTGGTTACCCACTTCTTGGATTGGCGCAGGAATTCGTGAGCGCTGGTAGCTTGGTACACAATTAATTTCGCCTACCAGCCATTTGGGAGGCCCGTTGTGTCGATTGATGCCAACTAAAACTGGACGGAATATGGTGCTGCCGTTGGCAATTGGGGCCCATGACCTCCAGGGCCTGCACAATTAGACAATACCCTTGTTACTAGTAGTTTCTTGTTACTAGTAGTAATGGGCTCCAACCTAATAGCGATGGCCTCCGAGTAGCTTCTTAATTACTATTAGTAAAAAACAACACCTCTGGGAT